GATAAAATTAGTCCCGATTAATAATAATAATAATAATAATAATAATAATAATAATAATCGGGTGCGAATGGGGAGACGTTCATTATTGACGTAATGGAGAATCGCGGCAAAAATTCTGTCATCGGCGGGGCCGTTATAACGCGCTCCAGCAATTATCCATCGGTTCCCTAGCTTTTAGAAGCTATTACTTCCCTTTTTCCCCTCCTCGAGCTTCCTCTGCCATCGTTTCGCACCTAGCAACGGATTCCTTTTCAATTAGTTGTTCCCCGCGCTCCGGGTTCGCGCCCGCTTTTATCCATTATCTCGCGTTTAGCGCAATCCGCGCCGATGAGGAGTCCTAGCGACGGCTGACCTCGTTCGTAGGCGCCAATAAGAGAGATCCAAGGACTAATTAAAGTTTCGCAAACGTGACTCCCGTTGACGAGGCTGTCCCGACGCCGGACAATGAGTTATTTCGCGCCACAGGCACGCGCGCATGACTTTCGCGAAAGTCGCGCGCGCGACGTAATCTCCTTTCTTTTCCCTTTTTTAATGCAAGTTTCGCGCGCAAGCGACGGTCGACGGAGGACGGGCGCGGCAGGACTCCGATTGCGGTTCTCGTCGATGGGCTGGCGAATCCAATTTTCTTACCTTTGTGCGGCGGTCCCGAATTCCAGTTAGAGCGGCTTTACGGATTTCGACAAGCGTCAGAGATCACGGTTGCCCGAAACGAGATTTCCACTGTTGGAGTTGTAACCGCGTAACTCCCGCGAGCTCCGCGGTGATTTAAGAGGCTCCTCACTTAACTAAAGAGGATAGTAAATTCTGGAACTTTCAGTGTTTTAGATCAATTCGGTGCCCGGCATTATCAGCGGCGAAGCTCTTTCGGGCACGGCGCGGCGGTACGTTTCGCGAATCGCGGCGAGCTCGCCTCGCCTCGCCTCTCCGAGCGAAAATTCGCACCATCTCGTGTCCGTCGACCCGAAACCGCAAAACACTACGTGAAAGGAAAATAGATGAAAATGAAATTAAAAATGGTTTCCGCCACAGAGCGGGTAAGCGTGGGCTATCGGGGAATTGTGCGGAAATTTGATTACGGGATATTTGGAAATTCTACGGATATCAGTGCGGAACGACGTGTCTCGCCGCGCGCACGGAGAGCGCGACGAGCAAAACGCAGTGTTTTTTTTTTTTCAAAGCAGTCGTCGTTAAATAGTTACGAGGCTTTGCGTACGCACGCCTCGCGCGTGCGTCGCGCGCGACGTGTGTTTTATGTGTTTTTGCGACTAGTGCTGCGCTAGTACCTTCGATAGAACTGTACTGATATATGAACATGTCTATTACATTCTTTGACGCGGTTGCAAACGTAAAATATACACGCGCGGGATATTGCGAGCTAATGGAATATAAAAGAGGAAGTCGCGCGTACGTGCGTGTGTGTGTGTGTGTGTACGCCGCGGCACATCCGCGGCAAATGTTTGCTTTAAATGGAATAAATAAACAAACGGTGTATTGCCGCGTATTGATCAGCAGCTGAAACATTGAATGCATAAATCGTTAATTTGGCGAATGACTGCGTACGGTCGCTCGCTCGTCTCGCTCTGCGAGACCGCTTACGCGCTCATAAACGTTTCGTGAGTAATCCATCAATCATCTGTGTGTGTGTGTGTGTGTGTGTGCGCGCGCGCGCGCGCACGTGCGCTAACAGAAAGTATATCGCGTAATCCTTTTGTTGAACGCTAACAATTTACATTAATAGCCTATTACGGACATTAAAAGGTTTGCGGGCCAACATTTGCCGATAATGCGTGTTGTAATACGCGCATGAAAACATAATATCGGGGCGTCGCGCGAGTGCGACGACCGTAGAATTCACGTAGGAGCCCGCTCTCTCGGCAGGAGCGAATCCGCCAGGTGAATACGAAAGAGTATTCCCTCGGAGGAAATCTCTCGAAGATACTTGCACGCGCGTCGTCACCACGGCGCGCGTTTGCTCTTCTGCGAATCTTCACCTTCACCGCGGATCTCCCGATTTCCAATCTGTTCTTTCTATCTTGTACGCGCACTTTATCTTCTCGATCCGAAGCAGCCCGCGAATTTAGCGGAACGTTTGCCTCGAGAGTGAAAGAGAAAGAGAGGAGGGGGGAGGCGGAGAGAGAGAGAGAGAGACAGAGACAGAGACAGAGACAGAGAAAAGACCGCGTCCGGTTTCCATTTTCACCCGACAACTCGCGCGCATTTGATTATAACGCCGCAACGAGACGACGAGTTCGCAATTGTTGCCGGCGGATAATTCGCCGCGAACGAGCGGCGCGATCGACCTGGTCGCGCGTATAGTTTCCGAAATAATGCGCTGTGTGTGCGCTTGTCGTAACGCCGACGGACCCGCGTGCTGCTTTGACGTTTGGTTTGTGGCTCAATTTGCATGTGATAAATGCACACCGGCGCGAACCTCAGCCTGTTCGTTCTACGGATGACAGAGACAGAGAAAGAGGGGGATGGGGGGGGACTAGAGGGGAGAGAGGAAGAGAGTACGAATGACAGGGAGGGAGGGAGGGAGGTAGGTAGGTAGCTGGACCGCGTCAGCGTGATCTTCTACGCACGAATACAAAATCGAAACTTTTAAACACCTGCGACGACTCCACCAATAACCAGCGGGCAGCTGTTAGGTCAGCGATGGCAACTTCACCGCGTATTTTACACTGGTTGAACGAGCTTACTTAACAGGCGAAATGCAATGGCGGTCCCGCGAATTATCGAACTCGGGCTTTCGCGGCTTATTTGCGACAGATAATATCACGCCGAGAAGATCGCGCGTGCACGCTCTTGGAATTATGAATTATGAATTATGAAACGACGCGCGCGCGCGCGGTTGTAAATGGCAACGTCACCGGAGCGACACGCGGAAACCGGGCTAAATATTACGCGGGCAACGGGACATAAAGTTACTAAGACGTAATTATTCACTGCTGAGTCCTTTATAATAATGACAAATGACTATTCCCTCCACTCGCGAGAGCGCGAGCTGTTCTCTATTTCGAGGACGTTCTCTCTCGCTTCCTTTCGCGCGCTCTCTCTCTCTCTCTCTCTCTCTCTCTCTCTCTCTCTCTCTCTCTCTCTCTCTCTCTCTCTCTCTCTCTCTCTCCCCCAGCTGAGACGACAGTCTAGCCCCTGCGACGCGCGATGCCTAACGATTCTTTAACTTCCTCGTTATTAAACTTTCGTACGCGGAATCATAAGTATGGGGAGAAATTGTCTCGACGTGCTGTATCGGAGGACTGTCTTCACATTGGCCTCGATTCGTCACGATTGTCTCTGGGAAATGTGTTCGCGTTAAGGTGCGTCGAAAAAGATGCCTTTAGCGCTCGTATATCGCGGCATACGTTCGAATCTCTCGGGGGAAGAGCTTGTTACATCAGGGATGGTTGTCGTGCGCTCTACAATTTGCGAACGAATCGGGAGGAATTATAAAATCTCGCAAGTCGGTTTTTAAATTTCTTTCTCTGTCTCTCCCCCCTCTTCCCCCCCCCTCTCTCTCTCTCTCTCTCTCTCTCTCTCTGAGCGAAAGTTTAGTCGAAGGACAGAACGAAATAACCGAGTCATGTAAGTTCGAGTAACTTTTCTCTTGTACAGAGGATAATTCTTCACTCTAAATCGTCGAGCATATATCTTCATTCGAAACTGAAGAGCGAATCAGACGTGCTCCATCGTCACTGGGACAAATTCACTCTAATAGGTTGAAACATACATTCGTATGGATCAAGTTTGCGTATCAATTCACTCCAAGTTTCGGTCAAACATTCGTTCTTCTCGTAGCAAATGCCTTCACTATCGCTTCGAATAAGATTTCACTTCGAGAAATGTAGGGTGTAAATTGCAAGAATTTTTATCGACGGTTCTCCTCTTCCCCCCCCCTCTCTCTCTCTCTCTCTCTCTCTCTCTCTCGATTTTTCTTTGTACGTTTTGAATTAAAAAAAAAATTTCTTTCAAAAATTAAATATCTTTCGCGCATTGATTTTCACCGAGGTAAAAGGGGACTGGTCCGCGAATGTTTAATATCAAGAACACGTGGTCGTTTGCATTGTTGTTGACGCGACGACAAAAGAAATTAATGCCGACGGGTATCTCGCGAGTTTATCTCCGCTCGGGCTAAGTTTGTCCGGGACTATCGAGTCTCCTCGTTTTTTTTGCGTACAAAGTTTCCATTCGTGCTTTAGCGCGCGGGTTGGATACAATCGATTTAAAAGTGCGGGCGTATACTTATGTCAGATAACAGCCGTTGGCGATATAACTTAGCGTGATTTACGGGCAATGCGATCATATTTTTACGGTGCACCGTTCCATTAGCTTCGACGTGCATGATTTATGCAAAGTGTTCTTGGCGCTTCCGCGCGAGCAGAACAAGACTACTCTTGTGTGTCCACTCGCGAAAGTCGACCGCGTATAAATATCTTTGCGCTCGCAGGTGCATAAAATCGATAGACGAGTATTTCGCGATATTTTTGTCGCGCGGTTCTACCGGCAGCTGACGATGATTCTCGCCAATCAATTTTCGAGCGGAAAATTCACGCAAGACGATAAAAGTCTCTAACCAACCGCCTCTCCTTGTTTCCTCTTCTAATCTGCTCAATGTATAACCTTAATTGTACATTAATAATTGCAGCTGCTACATCAGTAGCAACTTTTCTACTATATTATAATAATTTCAACAATTACTGATATCTTCCCGCAAGATTAATTATTCGCAAGCATCGCGGTCTCGCTCCGGAAAAATTTCTTCCGGATCGAGCACCTGAAGAGTTTTCATTCAAATTAATTTTCTTCTTTCAAGTATTAATATTACACCGCCAGAAAAATATTTCCGTCACTATCATGGCGTGTATACCTCGTTATTACCAGAACCGACACGCGATGAAAAATTCTCCGTCGAAGACGCCGACGAGCTCGGCTCGCGCGAACGTGAAAATGCTCACGCGACGGAATTTCTATATCGCGCGCCATCGCCTCTCTCTCGTTTCCAGGTATCCTGGGTGCGTAGGCGGGGAGAGGAGCTCCATTTACTCACCATCGGTCTGGACACGTACGCGAGCGACTCGAGATTTTCTCTGGCCTTTGAGAAACCTAATGACTGGCGATTGCTTCTGCGCTCCGCCACGGAACGCGACGCCGGCCTTTACGAGTGTCAAGTCAGCGCCCACCCGCCATTAATCAGAACTGTCCATCTAGCGGTGTCAGGTGAGTGAGCGCGTCATTCGGTGTGTGTTCATCTGACCGTTCCCGCTTGGCAGCCTCGAAGCAATCAAGAGCCGCTATTTCCCGCCGCTACTAACGATATGCACTTTGATCTGATGACCGCAGCGCCGTCCCGTAAATCAACGCGCCCACATAGTAGCCCGATATGTCGTAACAATCGTTGCCGGATATCGGCCGCCCACCGCCGGATATATCGAGACAACTAAGAAAAGACCGCGCGGTCGCCTGAGCGGCGCGCTCGCGACGACGCTTGACAGTCGCTTTTCGAGTGTTGTTCGAGCGGTCGGAGATTCGCAAGCGCGACTTTCGCGACTCGAATCTCCGGTGTGCAAATAGTTCACACGATCCCGCTTCTTCGTTAATTTCGAAGTGCACTTCGCTTCTTAGTTGGAGGGAGCCCGATACCCCTCGAGGGCTCGAAGGTCGAGCGCGCGATTTTTGCCAAAGCAGAGATCCGTTTTAATTTAGCCGAACCTTTCATAAGAGTGAACGCGCGGAGGAGCAAGGGGGGAGGGGGGGCGGGGCGGGGAAAGCTAGTAGGCGCGTACGGTATTTTAGCCGGTTTAAAAAGCTTCTTCTCTCTTTGATGTAATCACTAGGGTGCTTGTTACGGAATATATTGCAAAGTTCGTAGTTGTCGGCGTATTAGGCGAATGAGGCTAATTTTGCCGAAGGCAGCGACGACAAGAGCCAAGTGCATTATTCTCTTAATCCACTTCTGTGAAGTACCTCCGGAAAGTTGCTCTCTGTAGATACATAATCCATGTGTCCCGTGGCACGTTTTCGTTGAACCATAAATCACAGAAGCTCACGTCGTTAGGGTCGTCCTCTTCGCGGCATAATGGCGATCTCGATGCTGTAACGATGTCCTCATGGCGCCCACGTCCCACGCCACTTAATTGGAATCCCGTCTCTTACTCGTATCCTCCCCCTTCCTACCTCCTCCTCTTCTTCCCCTTCCCCTTCCCCATGATCCTCCATCCCCATTGCTATTTCTCTCCTCCTCTCCTGCCCACCCTATGTCCTCCATTTCCGTTCATCCTTCGTTATCGGTAATGCATCCCGAGTCGAAATTTTCGCGTTCGCATTTGTTAATTGCGAGTTCCGTCGAATTCGAATCTCGAGGTAAAACACTACGCAAGTTCCTATCCTTGATGCTACAAATGATTAGTCAATGTCATTTTTTCCATATCGGATTATCCTCAGAAAAGGATTTTCCTTTCAGTTATTCAATATTTGATTGTCTCCATATTTTACCTGCAATTAATTTTTAATAAGCAAGCAATAATTAAAATCATTTAATAAAGATTAATGGGCAGGCAGGTATAACTAATACGTAAGTGAGGAAATCGGCATCACAATCTTTTTATTATTTACATTTCCTGACGTTGGAAATTACGTAACGTTGGAATTAATATATATTAAATATTTATTTAAAACATATTTATACATCTACAAATAACATGATTATGCGTTTCGGCGTCCTGCGTCCTTCGTCTCTTCTCGATGCAGCGTTCTGCTCTCGGCCGTAGCGTCGTGCCACCCCGGAAACTAGATCCTGTCACGCTGATATTCGCGTAGGTGCGCTTTGATCGGAAAAAAACATTCGTTAATTAACGCGATGTCGCCGAGTAAATCCGAGTAAATATTTCAGGAGCCGACGAATGTTACTCCTTGCATAAAATATCGCGCAACGCGGGGGAAAGTGCGCGTGTAGCACGACGCACGTAAACACGAAAAACAATGGACAAAAAAAACGTATACTCATCGCCTTCCATCAGCTGCCAGCCGTCGCCGCTCAAACTAAGCGCTGCGCCATTACTCGATCAAAACAGCCCAGACCTTGACGCGACGGGGGTCAAACGTGCCCTCGCACGTCGCGCGTTTTTCCGGAACTTTCCATTGCGTTTCGGGCCGGCGCGAGCGAAGGACGTACGCGTGTGCGTCGGTCGGTGTTATCTGTATCGTTCTCATTGATTGATTAAAGTCTTTCGTCGGCCTCTGAACTGATCGAATCGGTCTCTCGCTGGCATCTCGCGTTGATTAACACGTGTTTCACCGGTCGAATCGTACCTACGCGAGTGTCAGTGACAGCATGAAGCAGCCAAGACGCTGAGAGGCCTTCGAAGTCAGGACGCAGGATGCCGTCACGTTGTGGAGAGCGATACATCATGCGTCGTACATCAAGGTATGCCAAACTGTTTATTATCCGGAAAGTTTCAATTTGGCCATTTGACGAATTTACCGTAATTATCCGACTCGAAATTTTGGACCGGTGTTCATAGTTATTATTTTATGTGTAATTATAGTTACATGAATCTGCGATTACTCGCCGATCAGTACTTATTGTATTATTTCGTGCGAGAAGCAATCAATATTGCCGAATAACAGCCCATGAATACGAATTTGTTCTCGATCAAAGATTTTGTGTAATTGAGAACTATGAATAGTCGGGGTTTGGTAAATCTTGCAACTGCTGTTTCTAATAATGCTGTTTCACAATCGCGATTTTGCGTAATTGGGAATACGATCGTGTTTACTTTTGCCGTTGTTCTTTCCTATTTAACTTTTTTCCGTTTATTTCTATTTAACTCTGTTATTATACGGAATGCAAACTCAATCTCTACTGGTAAACAAAGCATTATTGGATACGTAACTGTTATCTTTGCTCTTACAGCTCTTTTTGATAGCAGCTCTTTTTAAAATCAAAATCATCAAAACTTCCAACGTCAAAAAAAAAGAAAGAAAAAAGAAAAAGTAATTAGGAAGAGATGAAAAGAAAATGTATTGTTGTTTCATTTATTTGTTTACCACCATCCCAATTCTTGTTTATAATAATAACTTAATATTTGCCTCTCCCAGCTGTATATTCGCAGCGAGTAAGTTATATAATTAATAAATCGTTGCCCGAAACAAAGAATAAATATTAAATTCTACTGAAATATTTGGAGATGATTAAATATATATACAATATATTAAATAATTCTTCAACGAATACTTTTCCAATACGGACGGAATTGGAGCAAAAAATTATTTGTAGCATCAAGGTAGGACAGAGTAGCCTGTAAAGAGCAACTTTTCGAGGTTCTCCACTAATCCTTCAAGTTCGACGGGACTTGCAGGATCGATGCGGAGGGGAAATTTCGACTCGGAACGTAAATCCTCGTCGACGCGATTTCACGGGCGCCCGCGCAAGCACGCGTATCGCGCGTGAACAAAACAGACAAAGCTGTTGAGCCGTGATAAATGCATACGAGAGGGCAACACCATCTTTCTTCCATTACGTTGTGCACAAAGAGATTCAGCGATTCGACGATCGGGTCTATCGGCGGGGTAGTGACGCGCGGGGTAGATTAGTATCATTAGTATCTATTATCGGCGCGTAACCGATGTATGTTGGATAATTCCGCGCCGACTCGGTCGACTAGCGGTGATTGATCGATGGCGAGCGATATCACGGTTGACAGGTATATTGGATTAATATCGGACGTAAGACTGATAGATATACTTCGCGGATCGAACGCGCGCGCGCGCGCTCACTCGCTCTTACGGGGGCGGGGGCGGATTTCGGCCAGCTGCTACGAGAGCGCGCGGGGTAGCTCCGTCGGGATTAATGAGACTGCGTCCGGTCAGGAAGAGAGAACTCGGAACACTTGCTGCCTCACGATTTGTATATCCGAATGCGCGATTATAATTATACGACGCAGGAGAGCGTCGAATTAATCACGGTGCCGCGAGCACGAGCGCGCGCAACGTGCGCCGTCAGGTATAAATTTACGATGACGAGCACGCGTTTCGAGAGCCGCTGCTGGGGAAAGTCATCGCGATATCTTTGCCTTCACGAGGACGTAGGAGGTTTGCATTCTTATTGGTCGACAACAAGGCGGCTCTTGACTCGTTCCTCTCTCGAGGAAGTCGTCGAAATTTAACCGTACGCTGTGTGGATTTGTACGCGCGACGTCGAATATATTTATGAACGTTGCAGTCGTCGGGATTGCGGAGTATCCTTGCGCACTGTAACTGTTCGCGCGCGATCCGTTTCACGGGATCGTCGCGATAAAACTTGGAAATTATCGACTTGACAAATGCGACCGCTCGGACTCGTTAGATCGCATTAAACACCGGGGAGGAAACGCGGCGATAAAAAGACAACGAAGAAGAAAGATGAGACGAAAGATGGAGAGATTGAAAGGATGAATTGGTGGCAGAGAAAAAGAAGTAAGAGCAGCGGCAGAAGGAGGGCGGGAGAAACGCGGTAGATGAAATCAATAAGTACGCCGATATCGAGATATTTTTCAGTCACCGTAGCGCTGCAATGGAGGGTTATGAAATATCTGGCCGAAATACCAGCTACAGCATCGGAATAAATTCTGTGTTCTGTGAAATAAACGGAATATTTTGTGGGTCCAAATGGCGGAACGAACGATTGCGGTGTATTATTCTCCTACATACCGCGTGGCTTTTGTTTTATTTAACTTATAAAGTCCGCCTTCGGATATATCATAACCTCGCGCGGCTGAATATCGGTGCGTGCGTTTTGATCGATGGGCGTTTTCCTTGCACATCAGGAATCCTTGCTTCCTGCCGAACAGGGATGTGCGATCAGGATCCTCGTGCTAGGCCGGACTTCGCCACACAGGCGTTCGTCTTTCTCGCCGCGAGATGCTGCCAGACACGATTTCGCCGCCGCGCCGCGCCGCGCGTTGGAATCTGTTCGCGCCGTTGCGCGGGGAATCCTCCGCTCGTCGTGTCTTTACTCCTGCCGTATGGCATCCGTCTTTTTATCCCGTGACGCGCGTGATTCGCAAGGAGCATCGCCGCGAGATCCTCGCGATTTCGACGTTGCGACCTCGTCGGAGAATCTAACGTCGCTTCTCGTCCTCGGATGAACGGCGAAAACCGCGAGTAATGATTTCCTCTGAGGCCGCAAAGCCGCCGATGGGTTCGTTAATCCGTCGAGACTTTCTCGTTCTTTCATTTCT